TGAATGTCAATGCGGCGTCCGTGACCGGGTACATCTCGGAGTCGCAACTTCTTGGCAAAGGCGTCAGTGATCACACTAACGTTCGCTCCTGTGTCGAGTAGGATCCTCGTTCGCTGGTCGCTCACAGCGTCTTGCACCAGAGCTCTCATTCTGATCCGTCGGTCGAGTTTCTTGGCCGACCACCACCCCTGTCTCTCGCCAGGGTTCAACTTCATCATCTTGGAGTGACCCTTGGGCTCGTCTCGCGCTGCACTCGAAACCAAGCCGAACGAACCCTTGCTGGTGCCCTCATCAGCATCAGCACACTCCACTCTCTCTCCAACACCTCCACCGAGGATTCTACTCCTCTCCTTTTCATTTTCCGTCGCGTTCACACTTGTTACGTAATTATCAGGCCATTCACTCTGCCCCAGGAAAGCAAAGATGCACTCTGCTTCCATTGAAGGCTCGGTTAGCTGTGGCAGCCCGATAGGGACCAACCCAATTGTAGTTGGCGGGCTGCCTAGTTTAAATGACGTTCTTGAACGACGGCCTTGAGCTCTGGCGGGAGTTCCTCCTTCGTGCCTTTAGTGTGCACGAATTTGGCAAGGTCTTGGAAGCTACGGAAAAGTTCGCATTGTCCGGCATCGTGGAGCGGCTTGCAGAACTTGCATCGCTTGTTACAGTAGTGGGCGGAGTGACTCATGCCACCGCACACCGCGCATGGTCCGTACTCTGGGCGTCGGTTGTCGCGGTTGAAGTCACGTCGACCGCGTTGGTCCTGATTGAACCCACGGTCACCACCTCGGCGATCTTGATTGAAGCCATTCTCGCGATCAGGCATGTTTCCACGCGGTTGACGGTTGTCTGAACGTGCGTAGGTGCCTTCAGCAGCTGCATGGCGCTCATTTTCGTTAGCAGCGGCGAGGTATCGGTCGTTTTCATCCAATGAGAAATCACCATCCGTATTATCGGGCTGAAAGTCGTTGTACTCATCTTGGACATCGTCGTAAGCGTTCGGATCTTCGTTTGAATACTCGCTGCCCCCTTGAGCAGCTTCACGACCTTCTAATTCAGCTAGTAGGTCGTCCACCGTGGCTTCAATGAGCGTCACTCTTGGTTTGTTTCGGTTGTCATCGCGGCGACGGTCATCACGCCGATTGTTGCGGGCGTACCCATCGTCACGTCGCGCGTCACGACTCTTGGAGTATCGGTACTCACTGTCACGCTTGGTCATCCTCTCTTTGCCCTTGAGAACATCTTCGATGATCTCTTCGAGCTCGTGAATGTCGGCGACTCGAGCGTGGTAGAGACTCTCCGCCAGCTTATCATCATCGCATGTTGCCAGGAACTGCTGTACGTGTTCTTTCGCGTCGCGACCACTCTTCTCAAAGTGTAGACGGGCGGTCCGAGCGTAGCCATTCAGCCTGTTTATGTAGTCGCACAGATGTTCATTACGTTCCCGCTTGGCGGAGTAGTAACGCGACAGTGCCGTCTGAGTGAACTGCGAGCAGTAGTAGCGGATGAACGCATCGCTCAGCAGCTTCCACTTGCGCTTCGTCTTCTTCGGAAGTTGACGGAACCAATGAATGGCTCCGTCCCGGAGACTTAGGTCAAATGGAATGCACCATTTGTCGGCATCTGTGTGGGTTCCAGTCATTTCATAGACGAGCCCACGGAGCCACTGCATACAGTTCTCGCTCTTGTTGCGAGAGCCTGAGAACGGCGTGATGCGATCTAATAGTCGGTGCGATGCCATTTCAATCCTCGGTGTCGGGTCCACGTCGTTCAGCGTCGCTAGCTCATTCATCTGGCGCATCAACTCGAGTTGAGGATCTTCCTCGTCGAATGTACGCACCAAAATGTCATCGTCACTGGACGAACCATCGCTGTCGACTTGACGACGTCCGGCACCACCTTTGGGAGCTCGCGGACCACCTCGGCAACCGAACGAACCCTCGTTACTTGCGTAAATACGTTGCATACGGCTTTCCGAACGTGGCGTAACCATGTGCGAGTCTTGAAAGTACGGTGAAGCTTCGGTTGTGCCAAAGGCACCACGCTCAGCTCCACGCTTGGTCGGAGGAGTACGAACGAGTCGTTGGGGCGTCGGTGGCAGTGGAATCTTGGACGGATCTTCATCTTGAATCATCGGTCGGCTCACAGGCTGCTTTCCGGCATTGATGCCAACAGCGCGAAGCGCCTTCCGAAGCTTCTTCTTCCATTTCTGGAGAGCAGCTCCGGCTTCATGTGGACTCCAATCCTGGAGCGACATCGTCGATGGGTACGTCTTGTTCTCGAACCCCAGCGACAACAGTAGCGAAACTGAATCCTCGGCGACTTGGCTAGTCGAAACCGAGTTGACTGGGTATTGAAGTTCCTGCGCAAGCGCAGGCCAGTCGGCTTTTTTCTTGGGGATGGGCTTGAACAGCTGCATCCACTCATAATTCTGCATCAGCGCTTGTACGCGGTCGAAAACGCGCTTTGCGGCTGGTGTATCACCGTTGATAGGTGGACGAGGTGCCTTCAGCAGTGCTGAATGCTTTGCACTCGCCACCGAAGGTTTAGAACCCTCGGTCCCGTCGTCATAATCTTCGTAGGCGGGTTCCGGTCCCGCAACATCATCGAGCTCGTCGGTGAGGTTCCTCGAAAGGGACCTGGTCGCCCCGCTCAGCCCCGATGATAGCGTGGCCGTCTCCGGCGTCGCTGCACCTGGCTCTGGAGACGGCGTCTTGTCTTCGTAATCTTCATAATCGTGGGCGTCAGGACCGATGTCTGCTTCGTCTTCGAAGCTCACTGAAAGCTCGGTGGCGGCTACAAAGCGCGCAGCCGGGCTTGAACTCTCGTTGCGAGCCCCGCCAGACTTGGCAGGCGTAACTGGTACCGTCGGTTGTCCTTTCGCCATGTTCTTTGTCTTTTTCTTCTTCTTCTTCTCTTGGTAGCTCGTAAACTGGAAGGCCATACAAACAGTTCACAATGGTCACAATCTGTTCCCGGGTCGCGGCACCAGTTGTGGTGTTGGAAATCCCACGTGAACTCTAGCTACAAATGTAGTTAGGATGTTCCCACAACAATACGTCTACTAGGATAGTAAACGATCGTTCGGGCGGACCTAAAGACCCCAGTTCTGCCCTTGCACCGGGACAAACTGGACCTTGTAAACTACTTATATAGGCCAACCAGTAAAAATAAGAACACGCTACTAGCACGAGCAAAGCTAGCAGGTGTTTTGAATCCTCGTGGTCCAACCAGCGGAAGGGTACCAGGCACAGGTAAGCCTTTTACGAGATCACCGAGTGTTCAACACTCGGTAGGAAGAATAAAAGGGAGGCAATTCAAGCACTCCCAGTCGTGCAAATAGGCAACAATAAGCCGTCACGTAAAAACCTCCCGATAATAATCGGCCAATACACAAAGTCTCTTGGCCTTGTCGGATGAACCCTCGCTACAGAGCTTCGAGCTCACCGACAGGCATAACGCACTCAAACAAGCTTGACCTGACGCTTACCTTGAAGCCGGACGTCGCTCTGTGTGCTTGAGTGGAAATTCTGTTCTGTATTTAAGCTTACCCTTTCGGGTCTATTCCTAATAAGAAGTCCTAATCAAGTATACAAATATCAAGTGAACAATGATCCGTTATGGATCTTCTTGTATGCCAAGCGTCGTCTGCACCGTCGCATGAGTATCTTTAACGGTCCGCGCCCTGTCCCAGACGGTGAACGCGCCTTCCAAGGGTCGCTGAGTCTTCCGCGAGCTCATCCCAACCGCCACTGAGAGTTCGTACCGTAGATGGTCCGCTGAATGCGAATCCGGCCAGTCCATTATTTATAATAAGGACAGCCTGGATTCAGTGACATATGACCGTATCCGGTACTTTGTTGAAAGCTCGAGAGTGACGCCGTCGAGTCCCTTGCACCTTGGCGTCTCCGTACATCACGTGACCGAGGGTTCGTCGCTTGAACATCTTGGGCGGTGTCACGTCTTTGTCGACGGGTGATAATCCGCAGCTACGCACTACACCACATGAGATAGACGCTGAAGTCATCCTGCTAATCTTTTGGTAGAAGACGAATGAATTCGGCTGCTACTTGAGCCTTGAATAGCCTAAAGCCACGGTCAATTTGAAAGGAGAAGTCGATGGGCTCGATCTTGTTTCGGCACGAAGTGAGAGGATCGCCGTTCTTGATGGTAAGGCGGCAGGTAAGAATTGCTGGTAGTGGCAGCGACATTGCAAAAGTAAAAGTGATCCTTTAAGCCAAAGGATGCCAGGGCGTGGGAGAATACTCACGGTAGAGCTCGACAAAATTTAGGAGATCATCGAAACGGGATGGAATTTTGCCAAATGAAATAAGATGTGACACAATCTGTTTCGGATTTGTTAATCTATCTTAAAATTTGTTTTAAAACCATGATCTGTATATTTGCAATAAAGTAGGGATTTAGCCAATCGAGAACGTTTATGCCCAGGGAATTATCCCATCTGCCATCCGCCGAACGCCGACTGGACAGAACCTCCAGGTGGTGCAATTATTCCCGGAAATCCTATCCCGACTGATCCATATGAGACTCATCCCCGAAGGGATGTGGCGTGCCGACCTAAACACTTGGTTATGTCTCCGATCCGACGAAGGACTTGCACACACACTTACCTTAAGCATCGAGCTCCCTACAGACATGGAAATTGAACCCACGCCACCTGTTAGCTGACGGGCTAATCGGGCGCATGCAAACCAGTTGCCCAGAATGCATACTAAGATTCTAATAAAACTATGGTCAAATATGTCTTTGATTGGCATCGTCTTTTTTTCGTCAAAGGGTTAGGCTAAATTTTAGCCGATCGGATAGCATCCTCCCACGTAGGACCATAAAACTGAGGGCATTTTGACAGAAAGGCACAATAACATCCGCGCAATTAAACCCGGGGGGGCAATATAACAATAAAAATTGATACATGTACCGGGTTCGAACAAAAGATAAAAGACATCAAAAAGAAGGTAAAAGATTTTTCAAACGTCAAATATTGAGCGCACCATTTCAAATAACTTGTTCAAGTAAAGAAGATTTTCACAATGTCTAGCACCGCGATGATCACCGAATACTTTTGCTCAGTAAGCCGGTGTAACGCCCAACGTTCATCAGCAGTATTCCTTCCAATCGACCTATTCCACCTTCTCCCGCTCTGCTTGGAATGCGTCAAGAGCGCTCTTAATGACGCTCTTGTAGCGGTGAGGATGAGTCCGCTCGTGTTGCGCTTTCATCCAGCGGAGGGTCTCATCCGATTGCTGGTTCAGACTCTGTCTATCGGCATCAGAGCGACGCACGGTGTCCTTTGCCGTGGCCATGGCCTGCTTAACCAGCTCCCATTCGAGTTTGTCTTCCTCTTGCTTATGACCCAGTAGCACAAGCGCCTTATAGAACCCCTTGATCTCTTCTTCTTTACTTCGTTCGATGTCAATCTTAAATTTCTGCTCCCCGATCTTGAATTCCAGCTCGCAGTCTCGGTCTACGACACCCGTCGACTCGAACTTGACGTTCTCCAATGTGTGAGTCTTATACTCAAACCGCTCCACTCGTTTGCGCGTAGTGGTGGACGTTTCTGCGCGTACTTTGATAAGTGCGCGGTTGGTGAAGGCGAACTCCTGCCGCACAGACTGCAGCGCGTACAGAATTTCCTCCTCCGGCAGCAGATAAGACGACGCCCAAGCACTCGAGACGTCTGCGACCACGTCGCAGATGTCCGTTGTACCCGCAATGTCCGATGCCAAGCCCTTGATCGCCGAGTTAGTGTTGCCCATTGCGGAATCCAAATTGACAGACTGATTTTTCAATGGATACACTTTAAAAGCACCCTAAAACAGCAACTTCCTTACAAATATCACCTTTGCACTCCTTAGTAGCAACGAAAATCTTGAAAAGCATTACTTTTTGCCTTCAGCAACCGTCTGAACTAAAGCTCCAGCGATAACTTCACGATAGCAGCGCGGATTGCGCTCGATAAAGGCGTTTTCGAGCCATGCTGCAGCTCCGGAAGCTTGTGACACGAGATCGTGGCCTGTCATTATCTTCAAGCTGTCTGCAGCTTCGCCCAAGCCCTTCTCGGCTTGACTCCAGCTGCGAGCACGGGACTTTTGCTCTCGAGCGAGAAGTAATAGTGTCTTGTAGAAACCTTTAACAAATTCTTCTTCCTTACGAGCGATGTCGATGGACACGTCGTACTCGCCGATTTGGAACTTGATCTCACAGTCGCGATCCACTCGTCCTGCGGTCTCAAAGAAGACCTTTGAGATGGGGCAGTCTCGATACGTGGCGCGCTGCACGAACTTCCGCGTAGTGGTGGCATTCTCTCCTAACGTCATGATCAACGCCTCGTTGGTGAAGGCGAACTCCTCCTTGGCAGACTCGAAGGCGAACATAATGTCTTCACCCGGCAGCAAGTACGAACAGGCATGCAACTTGCTGAAGTCCTTGGCGGTGTTACAGATGTCTGCAGTACCCGTGAGATCCTTGGTCAGACCCTTGAACATGGTTAAAGTCTTGTGAACAGCCGCGCTAAAGTGAGAATGACGTGGTAGCTTGGTAAGGGAAGAGACGCGCACATGAAATCCACTCGCTGCATCCAATTAGACTGCAACAAGCTGTGCAAGCTGGTTGCGAAAGTCTCCTCTTTGTCAGCGGCACCGCTACGCTGGACACGATGACCACGAACAGAGACTGAGTTCACTACATGGATACATCAAATTTCAATATGTACTCGAAGTGGCGGTACGACTGGATTTCCTGAGCCAGCCGAAAGATGGGATGAGGTTCAACCGTTGCGGATTAGTCGAACCTCCTCGGCTATAACTCGGCGATTGTGGGTCCCTCGGCGACGTACACACACAAAACACCTGCAAGCTCACTTCTCAATCGACCAATCTTCACACGCACGCTTGGACACCATGTTGAAAGGACTCGCCGGTGACTTGTCTGGCGCGGGCGACGTGTGCCACGTCATGCACGACTTCTCCCCGTGTCTGGCGAACCCATATCTACTTCCCAACGAGAGCATCATGTTCTCAATGCAGTCCACCAAGGAGGAGTTCACATTCACGAACCACGCATTGCTCAAGATTGCTGGTAGCAACTCCACCACGACACGCAAGCTCACGGAGCGCTTTGACTATCGCAACGAGACTATCACGTCGGTGAAATTCGAGACTGCAGGACTTGTAGATCGCGACTGCGAGATCAAGTTCAAGATCGGAGGCAAGTCCATGTCCATCGACGTGGCCAAGGCGGAGCAAGCCGACGCCCAGGACTTTTACAAGGTACTGGAGATACTGAGTCGCCGTCAGATCGAAAATATCCGCGTGTGGGAGCATGGCTGTCTGGCGCTCAAGTATTCTAGTGAAGCAATGTATCTTACGGAGAACAGTGGCCAGACGCTTATCAAGCAGACCGACGACACGTCCTCATGGATCGGAGAGCTCTACAAACGTAGCCATCCACTATGCTACCGCGACGTCATCACCGCAGCCTTCCAGGAACTCAGACTCGTCGACAAGATGGAGCGCTTCCAGATACGAAAGTAGCAGTACTAAATTAGTACAGCTGAGTAGTACTAATCGGAAAACATTATAATACGGATGTAATACGAACTGTTGCTCTTTTACGAAAAAAATTGCAATTTGAAGGTGTTATTGGTGTGCAAACACCAGGCGATCCAATCCCAATCATCGTCAGACGAACACTTCGACCTCCTACCATGCCTTCGTCGCCGCGTAACTCGCGTTCCCGCTCACGTTCGCGTTCTCCGACGCAGTCTGCGTCTCGACATTCTCCCGCTCGCAACGCGCGCAAAAGCTCTGTGTCTCGCTCGCGCTCTCGCTCTCGTTCAAGATCCCGCTCCGTGTCCAGTACGTGTCACTCCTACCGCTACATCCCTCCCTAACTTCTCATTTTTCTGCCATCCATTAGAAGCGCGTTCCTCTGCAGATGAGAAATCCCCCAGTCGCAGCAAAGAAGCCTCCGAATCGAAACCAGTAACGCTACGCGTCGAGAACCTCACGCGCAATGTGAATACGGATCATCTGCGCGAGATCTTCGGCAAGTTCGGCGCCGTAGTGCGCGTGGAAATGGCCGTCCCTAGAGGCAAAGCTAGTGCCGTTATAGCCTTCGCCGCTCAGAAGGACGCGGACAACGCCAAGGACCACATGCACGACGGCTGGTTGGACGGCAACAAGCTGCGCGTACTTCCGGACGCTCCCAAGCCGGAGCCTCGCCGTACGGTCACGCGCTCGTCGCCGTCTCCGAGAAGCCGCAACCGGCGAGGTGGGCGGTTCCGGTCTCCGTCACCGCCACGTCGTGGGCGAAAGCGCCGTGCCGCGTCGCCATTCCGAGGACGCAGTCGTAGCCGCAGCTTTGGCAACCGACGTGGGCGCTCCCGTTCGCCGGCATTCCGTCGCCGTGGGTCGTCGCCGTTCCGTGGAGGACGACGCAGTCCACCGCCGTTCCGAGGAGGCCGTCGACGCTCGCCCAGTCCATTCCGACGTCGCCGTAGTCCCAGTCGTAGCAGAAGCCGCAGTCGGAGCTTCAGCAGAAGTCGAAGCCGCAGCTTCAGCCGTTCGCGAGGACGCAGTCGCAGTGCAAGTCGCAGCCGAAGTCGAGGACGTAGCTTCAGCAGCCGCAGTCGAAGCCGAAGCTCCAGTCGTGGCCGTGGTCGACGCCGCAGCCCCAGTCGAAGCCAAAGCCGCAGTCGCAGTTAAGCACAGCACGCACACACTTGCTATACAACTCCATGTAGTTCAAGTGCTTTTTGATTCTGCAGCTTACTGCCGTTCTAATGAATACACGTCCTTCCATTCTTCACAATCGCAAAACTTACAGACGTGCTTGTTACCGAGTTATTCCCCCATTTCTTACGTACTTGACATCATGCTACGTCTCGCATAGCGCCGCACCGGTGTATTGACACTGTCTCCATAAGCGAGATCCTGGACGTCGTCGCTGGACATTGCGCGATTCTCGAAGCCGCGTGTCCGGCGGTTCACGGAAGGTCTGCGGGAACTACGACGTCCGTCCGAGCCAAAGTCGCTCATGGTCAAGTTCTCCCGTACGCGGTCCAACGTGCTGATGGACGGTCGAGGGTGTGCACCAGCATTTGTCGTGGCATTTTCACGCGCTCTAGTGCCTTCAGGTTCACGTGAGAGCGCAGATACAGAGAAGAAACGTCGTCGACCTTGGCCGTGCCGCGCGCCGCGGAAGACGTTGCCTGCAGACCGTGAAGGAGACTCATCTACCGACGTGACTGCGCGTGCTGTGCGCGCGTTAGACAAGCGCGCGCTTTCTGTGAGATCCAAGTCTCCGTCCGAGTCGAGCGGCAGGCGGTGGAACGCCAATGAGCCGCGACTCGCGTGGCGTTCGAAGATCGACTTGGTCCTCTTGGCGTCGCGCGCGTATCGGTCTGTAGACATGAAGGACTCGACCATAACACTCTCGGCGTCGTAGCTGAACGCGCTGCCTCTTGTGATGGAGCGACGGCTGCCAATACGGCCAATTAGCGGACGGGCGGCCATCACCACGGCAGGAGCCATCGGCTTGGCCACGCTTGTATCGCGCATACTGGACGTCAGTACGGAGCCTGCCACACGACCAGCCTCGCCTCCAAGAGCGTCCTCTGGGATCTTCTCGGCTGGCGGGAATGTGAGCAGCTGGTCGGCGATATGTGTGAGACCAAAGGTGTTCACTTCCTGTGCTAAATGCTTGTACGACGGCCTGAACATGCGCATGTATCCCTTCCACATAAAGTCGCGCGACAACGCGGCGACCACGAGAAGCGGCAGTACCAACCAGAAGGCATCGATGCGGAACGTGTTCGAGAAGACGCCGTTCCAGTACGACGAACTGACTGAATCACCAGCAGAAATAAAAGCTGCAGTGCCGATCCAAAGCATAAAAGAGCCAATGTAGATGGCGATGTGAATGGGCCACCACATCTGCTGATGCAGACACAGTTTTAGCGTCACCACGATCAATACAATCGTGAAAGACGTGCAGCCGTAGACCCACATTGTCGGTGTATCACCGCCATTGACCAGATACCGCATCCCGTACACGACGCCGAAGCAGATGATGAGCGACTCCCAGACACACGACGTTATCCAGGCCCACACCACTTTCGTGTTAAACCGCGTATTCTCTTGACCGATACGGTACAACAGCGGGTAGCTGTGTGCGAGACACGCTGGTACGTCTTGCTCAAAGGTACTCACAAGCACGATAGGCAACGCTGTGAAGAGCAGGTTGTAGCCCTGAAGGCCCCATTCGAGGAAGAACTTCTGTCCAGAGTAACCCGTGTAGATCATGTACCAGAACTGGGTCAAGTTCAGGATCACGTTCTTGTAGAAGATATACAGGATAAGCTTGCCCATACGCACATAGTTCCAGCGTCCGTGAACCAGTAAAAGGCGCGATAAGAAGCGGAACTGCGCAATAGCATAATCCGACGAGTTAGCCGCCTGCATGCCTTCCTGTCCCGAGATCCCCACCCCCACGTGTGCTGCCTGAATCATCGAGACATCGTTCGCTCCGTCACCAATTGCCAGCGTCCGCATCTCCGGGTTATTCTCTCTCACAAGTCGAACCAGCTGCGCCTTCTGGGCAGGAGAGACACGACACGCGATCACTGCCACGCACTTTTCAGCCACCTTGAGCAGCAATTCCGGACACTCTTCGAGTGCAAGTTCCAACGTCTCGCCGTCAATAACCAACGCCAACTCCTGCTGATGCATCTCGGCCAAACTCTCGATACGTGTCAGCCGTTTGCGCTGATGAATGACGGAGGAACTTCGCTCCAACGGTGTCGTGGAAGACGTCAGTGCTCCACATGCTGTCGACGCAGACGTGCCCTCGTCGCTCACTTCACGCGCGTACGCTTCCAGTTCGTCCACGATAGAAGCCAAATCCGGGTGAGTATCCGCTGAGATCACAACGCGTTCGATGTCGGAAGCTAGGAGACGACACGCAAAGCCGATGTTGATTGCCGTCTCCTCCTTGTCGCCTGTCAGCATCCAGATCTTGATCGCCGCCTGTCGTAGCTTATAAATCGTGTCGGGCACTTCAGCTTGGAGGCGGTCCTCAATAGCTGTGGCACCCAGGATGTCCAGGTTCTTCTCAATCTCCTCCATGAGTCGATCGATGTCGTTATCTTCGCCATTACGACGCAGATCGATCTGGCGCATATCGTTGATAGCAGTACGGTATCGAATCACCCACGACTCGAAAAAATCCGGGTCAACGTCGGTCGTACCGATCACTAGTGTACGTAGACCCTCAGAAGCGAATTGTTCCATGTGTTGCAGCGTTAAGTTACGCGTTTGTTTGACAGCCGGGTCATTTGTGGGTCTCAGACGCTCGTACATGACAGTATCCGCGCCCTTACAGAACAGCTTGAGCTCTCCTTGCGGCCCCTTGACAATGACCGACATACGCTTGCGCGTACTGTTAAATTCAAGCACTTCCAGAACCTCGTACGAGCCCACAGCGTGCTCAGCCACTGGCTGGTTGCAGCTCATAGCTTCGGGGTTGTCCACACACGAGAAATACTCGACCATGGCCTTACCAGGTCCACGCGCCACGAACTTGTAGCCGAAACACGCCGCTGCAGCAACCAGCGCTTGTTCGTCCGGAGACGACGCACTTAAGCGCAGACTATTGTCAGGAGCCTTCTCCGGCATGACAGTGTGACACACGGCCAAGTGCTCGAAAAACGCGCTAATAGCCTTCGCTTGTGTGCTGTTCTTCTGCGTCAGTGCGTCGAAAAGCGCGTCGTCCTGATAATTCACGAACGGCGCAGTAACCACACGATCGGTTGGGGGATTATTCGAGTCTGGAGCGGTGTCAACACGGTCTTTCCGCATCGGAACAGCGCAGCCGCCACCGGGAGTCACCGCGTAGAAGGAAGAGGTCGTAGGCGCTTCATCCTGTTGCCGTTTCCTGGCTGCAATACCCACTTCCGTCTCGCCATGGCCATAGGCTACTCCATTGATGGAACATTTCCGGAACTCCATAATGTGA